ACAGACAGACAGACAGACAGACAGACAGATAGATAGACAGAGAGACAGACAGACAGACAGACAGACAGACAGATAGAGAGGGAAGACGAATGGGAAGAAAAAGGCCTAGAAAGGTGGGGAGGGGGCAGGGAAAGAGAATGATCCAGACAAAAATATAGAGCATAGAAGATAAGATCTTCATCCCCACCTGGGTAAAATATTGAAAATTCGAGTAAAGTACTTTATTTTCCTACCTAAGGACACAAAGTTGGGCGCCCTGACAGAATTCAAACCCAAGACCTTACGGTTGCGAGTACGAGAGCCTAACAGCTACATCTAGACCACCAACACTGCTTTTATAATAAGTTGTGTTAGGCTGTTTACATTGGGAGATGGGAAGAGGAAGGTTGGAGGGGGGAGTGAGGTGTGGTGCGGAAGGAAATGGGTACTAGGTTGTTAGATTTTTTTATAGTTTCTCGGTTGTCTTGGTGGAAAGGATGGGTGTGTGAGAGTGGAGGATTTGTTCTGGGTCTTCTGATTTCGTCCAGGATTTTTTCAGGCTCTGGACAGAATTATTTTTCCTTGTTCAGTTTTAAACCTGAGGTTCTTCTATTTAATGCATTACAGTGAAGCTCTAAGTTACTCTAATAGGTATTGTTATATACCAAAGTGATGGGAATCAATAGAGGAATCTGTTTATATCAATAACAATGACCTATAATCTGTTTGTATTGTATTTTCCGTCAGGAATGATGAATGAGGAAAACAAAATTGCCCAAAACCTCTTCGAAAATTTCGACTTACCGCATTTTCTCAGCTCTATAATCCATTGGAATCAACACAAAATTGTAGCGATATCACCCTAGCACACATTTATGCAAGAATTTCACAAATTTAGTTGAATATCTATCTTTGAAGGGCCTTTTTCTTATACCAGGCTCCGAGTTATTTACCCTTAGATCTAGCCAACATAGCGACAACAAAACAACGATTTTTGCAAGAATTTCGCGGAGTTTCAATCGATATTGGCGCTCAGAGATTGGGGTCAGGTTTGTTTACAAGTCCTACTTCCTTTCAACAACTTAAAAAGTAGGAACTAAGTTAAAAGGCGCACATTTATTTCGGATTTCGTTGAGCCGCTCACAGCGTTGTAATGGATGCAGCGGAAAATCTGAGAGCCGCTGTCAGCGGCCGAATGGACGGAATTAGTATAAAGTTTTGACTTTGTAAGTGTAAAGATGAAAGGAGAAGGAGGGAGAGAAAGAAGGAGAGATACATAGATAAGGAGAGAGAGGGAGAGAGAGAGAGAGAGG